TACGCGTGTACGACTCGAGGAATACCCATTAGCACCATCCCCCGATTAATCATGATTAAAAGTTCTTCATATACAGTAAAAAAAACTTATTAGAATGTTGATTTACTATATAGCTACTTGTTTATAAAAGTGAGGAGAAATGAGTAAGAATGATGTCTAAAAGATAATTATAATAATTAAGAGATATGCATGACCGAAGTGATGAACTAGTGAGTCTAAATCATTGTTGTAGCATGAATAGCATTGGCAACATTGCAAATGGTTCTGAGCAGGGGTATTTTTCTTTATCACGGGGTTTACGGCAGGGAGATCCACTGTCACCATTACTGTTTGCTTTAAGCCCCGAACGTTTTATGGCCTTTGATTAAGCAGGCCATTCATTGCATGAGCTTCATGGTGTTCGGATGGACCCCCAGTGCCTGATGGTTTCACATCTACTCTTTGCCGTAGACTCATTTCTTTTCCTCCGGGCTTCTAAAAGTGATAGTGATCATCTTTTGGGGCTGATTCGTGATTACCAAGATATAAGTGGGCTGCGGGTTAATTTACACAAATATGAGGTTTGTTTCAGTCCAAACCTCAGCCAATCGGATCAAGAGGAGTTGGCGGCTTTCCTGAAGTTGGGTCATTCGGATTACAAGATCGCTATTTAGGGCTTCCTTCCTTGCTCGGGCGATCAAAATTGGAGATTTTGTTTCATTGAGGAGAAATTGATTTCGGTTCTCCAAGGGTGGAGAAATCGAACTCTGTCAGCGGCAGCTAAGGAGGTGCTCCTCAAATCGGTTGCAACACCTCTCCCAATCTATGTCATGTCTTGTTTTAGGTTGCCCAGATATTTGATTAACAAGCTAACTGCTTTGATGGCAAGGTTCTGGTGGGGTGCTGTTCGGGGCCAGTGTCGTATCCATTGGAGAGCATGGAAAACCTTGTGTACTCCTAAACAGGAAGGTGGGTTGGGGTTTCATGATTTTGGTTGCTTCAATCAAGCTCTTCTTTCCAAAGTCGTGTGGCGTGTGCTTAAAGACTCGTTGAGTTTATTATCAAGATTTTACAGGGGTCGATACTTTAGTGCTACTGGTGATTTCCTTGAAGCTGGTTTGGGTATCAATCCCTCATGGAGTTGGAGGACTGTTCTCTTTGGCGGGGACTTATTATGGGAGGGACTCCGGTGGCAGGTAGGTGATGGAACTTCAATTCGGCATTCCGGGAGACCCGCTAATCATTCCCCACCTTGCACCATGTATTTCTCGTTCTTCTTTAATCGTTTCAAGTCTCGCTGATCCTGGCAATAGAACATGGAATTCCGCAACTTTACGACACTTTTTCTCTTTGGATTCAGCTGCACTAATTCAAGGGATACCTCTTTCTTAGAAGCTATTACATTATTCAATAGTTTGACAGTATGAATCAAGTGGGAATTTTTAGTAAAGTCTGCTTTTCATCTGGCTTTCAAGCAATTTTGTCTTGTTCTGTAATCTCTGCATTTTCAACTTTCGTCCAGCGTTTTCAGTAAAGTCTGCTTTTCAGTGAAGCCTCAAATTGATTTCATGGATCTCTCGATTTGGAATTGGATTTGGGGAAGGAAAGTTCCTCTGAAATTGCTCTTTTTCTTGTGGCAGTGTGTTCACAGAATTCTCCCTACTCATGAAACTTTATTAACACGAGGGATAGATATCATTCCCATTTGCCCCGTCTGTGGACGGAAAGAAGAAAGAATGGAACATTTATTTTTTCGATGTCCAGTTGCTCGAAGACTATGGAGGTGGTGGGTATGCATAGACATCTGGGTCGTTCGGAAAAGAGGTCATTCATTGCCTTCATCAGATTCTCTTTATTCAAAGAGACTGACGAAGATTTGGATTACTTATTCCTGCAGGTAATCTGTTTACTTTGGAGGGTGTGCAAAAATCATTGCAAGGTGGTTTTTTAGTACAAGTAGGTTCGTGTGGAAGAGCTAGATGCTCAATGGAGGTATCAAGTCCAGGAGACTGACAAGGCCCTTCTGCAGGCGGCTCCTCCTAATGAGGAATTTGTCGGTTCTTTTGATGCAGTTACTCGACAGGGACAGTCTGGTTCGGCGGCTTTTGTTATTCGTCACATCTCTGGGGATATCATTGCTGCTAAAGCGACTCGTTATACTGCCTGCATCGACCCTTATGTTCTTGAAGCTCTAGCCTTACATGATTTCCTTGTGCATTGTTCTCAGCATCGGCTTCGGAATATCAACATCCAGGGTGATGCTAAAGTCATTATTGACAAATGTTGCGTTGGAGAGACTAGCGATTCCAAGATAGGATTCTGGATTCGCGCCTAATTGCAGATGTTTTGCCCCCGTTTTACTTAGATGTTTGTGCCAAATTCGCTCCTAAAAGGTTGGTTTGATGCTAGGTTCTTCATGTTTGAGTGTGTTTTAGGATTTAACAGTTTAAACCAGCCTCGGAGTCGAAAGATTGGAGAAAAGGATCGAAAACCGGTAGAAGTGGTGAAAAAGAGCCAGTTCACGGCTAACTGAGGGAGTTTACGGTCATGCAAGACCGTGAAGAAGAGGAGTTGACCATGAATCGCGAGGCGTCCAGAGCCAACGTGAAGATTACTGACTGACACGCTAAAACACAACACCAAGCTGCGACCAAGTGTAATCGCAGTTCGGAAATGCAGAATAGTGGCAAGTTCTATTTATCAACCCGAGGTCTAGATCTACTGCCTACTCCGTGATCATTTATTATCTAGCAAACTAAGTTGAGTGAATGTGATTTTAGCTTAAGTAGTAAGAAAGCAGGAAATGGTTCAAAGTTCTTAAGCAGGGGAAGAGTCACTCGGGAATGAGTCCCCCTAGCTCCTTAGTTAGGTCAAAGTTGTAATTACCTCTAATTGATTTGTTGTTTATTAAATTGCGGAAGATCTGACAGTAGCTTGGAATCTCTTAAGCTGACCAAGCCCTCTCAGACAGACTAATTGGCAGGCGACTAGCCTTCACTGGGATAGACTGCTGGGGCAATAAACACAGAACTCCACTACTGGAATTGGATTCCAGAACAAAGCAATAAATCAATTAACTCTCGTATAACCAATTCACTACTACCAATTGATAAAGCTCTAACAACCTAATCAGATTCTATCTATCTCAGGTTGCAACAGAAATAAAGAAAAATTTATCAGGCTTCAATTGACTCAATGAATCATGCATCAATCGATTATAATCAAGCAGTATATCAATCCAAACGTCATTACAATCAAGATTCCTAACACATGGAACTAGGGTTCTTCATACCCAAGTGAGAGAGGGTTCTTGTAACACCCTAACCTGGCCGGGTACTAATTTTACTAAAATGCCCTTGACAAATAAAATACTCAAATCTTAAATTGCGGCGGGAAAATTTTTCATAAATAAAATACTGAAAACACACTTGTAGTTCCGAGCAAATCCCTAACACGTGGGCAAATTAAACTCAAACTTTAAATCTCAATCTGATCTCCAGTCTATACTCATAATCATAAATGTAAATAACTGATAATCTCTATCGTTGCTGCTACTGAAAATCTTAACTAGGCATCCTCCGTGACGCTTGCACCGCCCTCCTCTAGCTGGTTGCCCTCGAACTCGCTGCTCACTAACTGCTCCTCTGGCTCCTCTGGCTCCTCAAACTGGTGAGCGAGATGGGATCAGTCTACGCCATTACGTTTTAAAAATTCTAATACTTGAGTACTTTACTTAAACACTTAACTTTGACTAGTGGAAGTTGTTTGTACTTCCAATCTTAAAATCTTAACTCTTAAACTTTGAGGGAGTTGAAGTTACTCTCCTCTCTTAAAGCTCAAATCTTGACTTAAATACTTGACTGACACGGGGATCCCTCACTAGCTAGTCCGGCTGCCAACACATACGTATGAGAAGCCATCCCGGCTTTCCTTAAACTTAAACTTAGTTAGGGATGTCGTAACAATTCATCCCCCTAACATCTTAAACTTATCGTGGTGGCTCTTCACCACGATTCTCAAGAGCATAACTGCTGCTCTATCTCAAAGATCTCCAGAGCATAACTGCTGCTCTATCTGAAAATCTCAAATGGCAACGGACTGGCGCTAACAACTACAAACACTTAAAACGACTTCACCTTCGTGAAGGTGAGTTACTTCTTAAAAATAACTTGTTTCTTAAACTCTAATAATTAACCATAACATAAAGCTTTAGGGTAATTAATATACATTCACTTTAAATCACAACAAATAGCACAAAATCACCTCAAACCATAACTCAAGCAAAGCACAAATAATCAATCATAAACTTAATCAAGCAATGGTAACCAATTCACTAAAATACTTAAAACTCGTCAAACTTGAAAGAATACGTAAGGCGTAGAATTTACCCGCTTCACACTCACCTCGAAAAGATGAGTCTGCTTAGACTCTGAAAATTCCACGAGGAAAATTACTTGTGTCCCCTCTGGTTGGTGGGGACGAACCATATTCTGTTTGCTTATAACTTTGTGATGAGAAACCACCAGATGCTCTAAACCGATCTTGTGAAGTGTCCTCAAATTCACTTAAAAGTGATTGGTCAAACCCACTCGGCAGCCGCTTGCAAAATCCAAGTCGCTAAGAGATAGCAGAAAGTCTATAGTGTACAACAATTTTGACTTCTGAGATTTTGTGCAAGCTTCCTGATGCAGATCCAACCATTTTCGTTCTTCATTCACTATACTCATTGTGCTCAAATTTTGCTATTGAAACAATACCGGTACACAGGGGGTTCTTCTAAACCTCACAACCAACTGCTAGGCAAGTCTTGTATCGAATAAGACAATCAGACTTATCACATGTTTAGATGTAGCGTCTAGATTATCCAAATCAACCTAATCACTTCCATCTCCAATCTTAAAACAGCATGTCCGCCTAACACTGTCCTCAAGTCAGCTCTACGTCCAATTATTTATAGGAATTGAAACGCTAACTTAGCCAAACCACCACGGGCAATCGGATTCGAAAGGGGGAAAAGAGAATCAGCTTCCCTGCTCTAAAGATGACAATTCCGAGCTGATTAGAGGTCTCCTCTCGAAATCAACAGTTCCATAGCTGTGCACTTGTGAGATGGAGCAAGTGATTGGGAAAGTGGGACGATCGAGATCCCGACGAGGGGTGAAGTTGGGAGTTCTCCATTGGAAGGAGCTGGAGTAGGAGATGGTGGAGGAGATAGAAAGCTTGGATTGATGCAGAGACGGCTGGAGAAGCATTTTTTTTTCGGGGTAGGGTTTTCTGGAGGAAAGCTTGGGTTAATTCACATGTACATATATATTAATTAGTATATGTAACCGTTAACCCAACCGTTCCCGTATTTTGGTCGAACCTGAACCCAAAGTTGGGGTGTTACATTTCCTCCACTCTTATAAAAATTTTGTCCCCGAAATTTGCTCGGAATTTATCCTCCGGTCAAAACCCTTCTTAATCTTCCTTCTCATGATCATTTATTCTTACCATAACAAATTCGTTGGTAGCCTTTGATCATATACATTTTCTTAGCTTGTAGCACTCGTATAACCTTGAGTGACTCACTGTCCTTTTCGTTTCATAACTTCACTCGAAAGTGATGAAAAAAATGCCGACTTGACTGGACATATTGATCAAATTCACCTCGTAGTTGTTGTTGAACCTAAATCCAAAATCGAGATATCACATTTCCTCCCTCCTTACGAAAAATTTTGACCTCAAAATTTGTTCATCGCGACACCTAAGATCTCACTTGAGGAAATCCTTCTACTACTGGGATGTATACTTCCTTTACCTGATACGACCTTGAGCTATGAACCCTTTCCTCCAATTCGTGTGGATCTTGGCCAACTAATTACTCACCTACTTTACATAATTCTCTTGCTCAAGCTAGTTACTTGCTCAATGCGTCTATGGCACTCTCCCTTCTTAATTGCCTCTGATGCTGTAATGGCTTCGTAGCTCATATTGTTCTCAACTATTTGTCTTGAGTAATAAATTATTAGCCTGCCCTAAACAAGTCGCGTCTCGTCGTAACTTCAGCTCATGACAGGCCCAGACCTTGAACTTCGTCCTCCCTATCTTGACTGCTGACGAATCTCCTTGGTATAAAATGTTTGAATTACTTAATGATTACCTCCGATGTTGGTTTCTAGGTATCGCTTCTTCTCCCTCTATAGGCTTCGTTATTCTCCTCTTTGATAATTCCACTTATTACGCACTCTTGATGCGTAATTCACCATATGTGGTACCTTTAGTATGAGAAAATCCCCTACACATCCCTATTAATGTTCTTAGTACCCCTTTCAACCCCAAGGTTACTAATAGCGGCTTAACCTCCATCTTGTTTATCGCAAAACTCTTTTAACGTACCTCATCTGCGGTTGACCACATATATCACCTAACTCCTTGTACCTTATAACTTTGAATCTCTTACTTCCTTCCAAGATTCTTCGTCTCCTCCTTTTAGCCATCAACTGAATGGTCCTCTCCTTGTTACTTCTTGCTTTACCCTGAAACCTCACACTACTACTCTTACTTGTTGTATGCCTTAAAAGCATCCTTTGCATCTTTCTCTAGCTTGCTAACAACTTTATGACTCCCTTCAAGAGTCATGAACTTCCCTTTGGCTTACTTTTCCAATCTTGGCGCCTAACTTAGCACTTCCTTGTCGCCACCTGAATTTGAAACTCTCGTACTATCCATTCTGCTACTCTCAGACCCTAGCTTAAATTCCTCGTATAGTTTCCCCATCCAATATAGTCTTACCCGAGAGATTGACACCTTTCACCAGCATAGGCAATCTTGATTTCACTTTGTGGTATTCTATTAGGTTCCCTAAACTTATAGCCCTCTTACTTCGTTACTCGTGACTCTTTTTCTTGATGTTCCTTTCTCGGTTTTTATGTCCCTTATTCGCGACATAGTCCTCTAGGTTCCTATATCCTCTTCTCACTTATGTACTTTGGCCTATAAGGTTTACCCTTCCACTATTCTTGACAACCTTGATTCCACTTTAATATTGATCGAGATTTATCGATGGAATTCCTATGGATCAATTGTTATCCATTCGTACTCAACCTAATACTTCATTGATGTCTTCTGCATTTCTGCTTCAACCCTTCCTAACTATTTTCATCCATGCACTCTATTTGAACTCAGGTCACTTACACATATTCTCAATCCTTTATCAGGAACTTTCAGGTCCTTCCTTGACTTCAAACTCTCTACGACCTGACTAATGCCACTTCATAGTTATGGTCTTAGATACGGCTTACCGAAGTCGGTACTACTCTAAGATTGCTTACCAATTGACTAATTGACTTCTACGCCAATTGACTTCTTGAAATCTAGTCAAACTTCCTCTGTCCTTCTTGCATTTTCCTTGTATTGTACGCAACGTTTCTTTATCGTGAGCGTTGGGAATCCTCCTCAAATTCTCTCAAATTTATTAAAACTTCCAATGAACGTTCTACTTGCTTGTCTATACTCGGTTTGTTGAATGACTTACTCCTATAGCTAGTTCCGAGACTCTAGCTCTTAGGCTGCTAGTTCCAACTTACGAATAGAGGTTCCTCCTTCTGGCACCCCTCATGTACCCTAGGCGGTTAGGTGCTCCTTACATTCAGGATAGGACAATCCCAAAACAGGTCATCACGAACTCTGCATTCCCCTTTCAACTATCCCAACGACCTCCCGACCTTTCATGATATGGGCAGTTTGTAGGGTCTCTAATATCCTCTTTCTAGCCCCGTGTTGACTTAGTATTCAACTCAGGCATTGCTGAGGATTGGTTCTCTATTCATATTGCCAGTTACTAGCTAACTGTTATTCGCTCTCACATTCATTATCTTTTCTTACTTATTGACTCCCCGCTGTCTTCTACATGGCATGCTTTAGACTTTGGTGGCACTTTCCTCTATGTCTCGTCCAATGGTGGTCGTACTAAAACCATAACTTGTCCTCTACATCATTTACCTCGTTGCTTGTCTTGTTTCTTTTAAAGGCATGTCATCGGCCTAACTCCCCAGGGTCATGTACCCTCTTCTGTAGTGACGTAGTTTATGTATAAGGGTTCCTTTGTCGTCATATGTAAATGACCATGCCTCATCTTCGCCTTGACTTCTTGACGTCCTTACATACTCCTTATAACCTACTTATTTCCTCCTTCACTTCCTTTATACTACCCTAGCATTTCTTAAAGTCTAAACATTCCTCTACTCCTTGTCACTGTGTAGTAATGGTGTCGAGCCATCGACCACAAAAACTAGCTGAGGGACTTCTCGGGGTACCTCTTTGTTTCTTGACCCGTTTCCCACTTTCCACTGCTTAGGACCAAAGACCCTAACATCATCCTAGTATCATAGCTACTGGCATCTGGTGATTGTTCCTCTTCCTGTGGAGATTCATATTTCTCCCCTTTGTTTGTCTTAGTTTATTAGATCATCCACTTGTTTCCTAGTAGTAAAATCCTCGTACTACTCTCTCAATTCCTTCAAAATCCTTGTGATATTCCCTTTCAATTGGCACCTCTTTGATGGTGTTTGGAGTTGAAGTCCTCGCACATTTGATTCTACCTCCACAGACCTTTGCAGCGTTCCATCTTCCTTCTCTAGGTTGATGATGATGATCTGTTTGCTAACGTCCGAGTAGTTGGTTAACTAATTGAAAAACTACTATCATCATGTCGATGAGATACTTGGTCTTGAGAGCCTTTGAGATTCTACTTGGGTTGGTCACGTTTCTTTCATCCTTTCTTTCTTACTGGCGATCACCATATGCCTAAATCTCTCATTTGACAAACCACGACATGTTAACTAAATCGCGTCCTAGCCTATTCTTAAATAATCGCACCCCAGGCTACCATCCCTTCGTGTCGTGCTTTCATAGTTATTCATCTTAATATGATTAGAGTAGACTGGAGGTTCTATAAACTCTTAAAAGAAGATCCTTGACTCGTTTACATTTCCGTTAAAACAAAAGCCTTTAAAACTGATACCGATATTCCAGTATTCCTTGGAAACCAAGGAACAGAGGAAGACCGGCTCTGATACCAAAATGTAACACCCTAACCCGGCCAGGTACTACTTTTAGTAAAATGCCCTTGACAAATAAAATACTCAAATCTTAAATTGCACCGGGAAAATTTTTCATAAATAAAATACTGAAAACACACTTGTAGTTCCGAGCAAAGCCCTAACACGTCGGCAAATTAAACTAAAACTTTAAATCCCAATCTGATCTCCTGTCTATACTCATAATCATAAATGTAAATAACTGATAATCTCTATCGTTGCTGCTATTGAAAATCTTAACTAGGCATCCTCCGTGACGCTTGCACCGCCCTCCTCTTGTTGGTTGCACTCGAACTCGGTGCTCACTAACTGCTCCTCTGGCTCTGCAAACTGGTGAGTGCGATGGGGTCAGTCTACGCCATTACGTATTAAAAATTCTAATACTTGAGTACTTTACTTAAACACTTAACTTTGACTAGTGGAAGTTATTTGTACTTCCAATCTTAAAATCTTAACTCTTAAACTTTGAGGGAGTTGAAGTTACTCTCATCTCTTAAAGCTCAAATCTTGACTTAAATACTTGACTGACACGGGGATCCCTCACTAGCTAGTCCGGTTGCCAACTCATACATATGAGAAGCCATCCAGGCTTTCCATAAACTTAAACTTAGTTAGGGAAGTCGTAACGATTCATCCCACTAGCATCTTAAACTTATTGTGGTGGATCTTCACCACGATTCTCAAGAGCATAACTGCAGCTCATCTTAAAAGTCTCGAGAGCATAACTGCTGCTCTATCTCAAAGATCTCCAGAGCATAACTGCTGCTCTATCTGAAAATCTCAAATGGCAACGGACTGGCGCTAGCGACTAAAAAAACTTAAAACGACTTCACCTTCTTGAAGGTGAGTTACTTCTTAAAAATAACTTGTTTCTTAAACTCTAATAATTAACCATAACATAAAGCTTTAAGATAATTAATACACATTCACTTTAAATCACATCAAATAGCACAAAATCACCTCAAACCATAACTCAAACAAAGCACGAATAATCAATCATAAAATTAATCAAGCAATGGTAACCAATTCACTAAAATACTTAAAACTCGTCAAACTTGAAAGAATACGTAAGGCGTAGAATCTACCCCTTCACACTCACCTCGAAAAGATGACTCTGCTTAGACTCTGAAAATACCACGAGGAAAATTACTCGTGTCCCCTCTGGTTGGTGG